GGCGGCGCAGGCCGGGGGAGCGGGGCCGCCCGGGCCGGCTCCCGGGGAGGCAGCGCGGTGTGCTGCCGGGCTCCGGCCATCTGCCTCCCGTCCTCCGGCTCGCGCTTAAATATTGATCAAGCGCACTTCAGCTTCCGAGTAATTTCATCTTAATCAACGGCCGAGCTCGGCGCGGATAATGAACTAATGCTGGAGAGGCGCTGTCGATAATGCGCGGCCAGGGGCAGGGAGGAGGCAGCCTTCCAGTTTGGCGGGGCTCGATAGGCCCTATCTTCCCGGGGCAGATGGACTTAGTGGGTGAGGAGGCTTAAACACAGCTTTTCATACATTTACACCTCAATCAGCCATTCAGATTTTTAATGCAAATCCTGAAACAACACCATTTACCCATTACGGAGCCCGGCTTTGAAACGGCCTGTCATTAGCGGCACCCTCGGTACCCCGAAACCGCGCAGACACCGGCGTCCCCCTGGATGTGTGTGCGTGTGTGTGTGTCCGTGCGCCCCACACAAAGGCCCGCGGGGTCCGGGCGGAGGCGAACACCCCCAGCGGGGCCGGGGCAGCTCGGTCCTCCGGGTTTGGGCTGGGGCTCCTGCCAAAGGGTAACTTTTCGGGGGTGGGGGGTGGCAAATGGCACCGGCGACAGGGCCCTGCCTGGGAGGCTGGAGCCTGAGGCCAGGTGCGGATGGAGTGAGGCTGAAGGAGATCTCTGGCCTCCCCTAACTGCCACGGCACGACGGGGCGATCTTCTGGAGGCTTAATCAGGGGGAAGAAAAATCCAAACCTATCAGTGTAAGGCTCAGCTGAGGTAGATTATTGCTGCCGGCTTCACGCCTTCTAGCTGCAGCTTCGAGATGCGAAAATGAAGGAAGAGAAAGAAAAAAAAATAAACCCCAAACTTTCACGCCTCTGAATCCTTTCAAGTATCAAATCCCATTGAAAATAAAGCAGGATGGGAACGACACTCCTACCAGCGAGAACCAGAAATATTGCGCTTAAAAACAATGTACTGACACCGAAGACCTCCTTCCTACCCAACCCCGGGGGTGACTAGAAGGGCCGGGTTCTTTTCTTATAAAGGCCTCTCCGCTGCCTCCTTGCCGGGGGGGAGAGAAAGAGCAGCCCCAGTTCAAGCATGAGACCCGTGAGAGGGTGCCGGCCTTTGGGGAGCCTTTTATCCCCTCCTGGGTAGTATTTCTCCCCTCCAAAAGCCGCATGGGGGAGGGGAAGAACTAGGTCCATCACACGACCCCCTTCTCCCACCCACGCGGAACACGGGAGCCCTATTGTGTCTGTTTCCCCCTCCCTCGCCCCAAGCAATTCCCGTCCATTCCACTTTCGTACAACCGGGCGTTATTTTCTTTTAACTCCCCACTAGTGTTGGCGACGGGGCAGTGACGCCGCCGGAGCTGCCCGTGGAGAGACCCCGCCGCGGAGCCGCGCGTGGAGCGAACCCCGAGGGGGCGGGCGCTGCCTCGAGCCGTCCGTGTCCTTTCCCGCGGTGGCTCCCGCGGGGAAACGGAGAAGTCCCCCCCCAATACACACCCTACGCGGGTCTCCGCGGTTCGCAGGTGCTCAATGGCCCAGCGTGGAAACTCTTTCCTGCCCCGGCCAGGGCGTGTCTCGGAGTGGGGGGACACACGTGCCCTCCGCGCTCGCTGAGCGCACACACGCGGCTTTTCCTCGGAGGCACTAAAGGTGTATGAACGTATTCGCACATCAGCTTATTCCTTAAAATTACCCGTTAGTGGCTTGCTCTAAGATCTCACATTCTAGTGGGTTCCCCCAGATCCCCAGGCAGCCTCTTGGGGCGGGGGGACGCGAGGGGAAGCCCAGGAGCTTCCTAAGGCTTTCCGTAAACCTAGTTCAGACTTCCCCAAAAAAGGGGAGGAGGGAGGAGGGAGAGAGGACTCGGGCAACACAAAGGTAGATCGGAAGTCCAAATTAGTTTGGAAATGGTCAAGATATTCCAGGCACGTTTCTCCCTAAATCCCTGATAAGTTTAAAAATTGTATTTTCAAGTAAAAACAAGTTTAGAATTTACCTCTCATTAATTCACGGCTGAATAATCTGCCCAGGGCAAAGCAAAACTTTAATTAAAAAAAAAAAAAGGAAAGAAAAAAAAAAGAAAGATGCTGAAATACTGTTAGTCATGCAAATAAAAGCTTCTTTCAGCACATTACAATATATTCCGGATTCGACGGGAGGAGCTGCAGCCCGCTTAGGGCGAGGAGTTTATGTTTTTGTTTTCATTTAAAGCTACAAAACAAATCCCGAAATGTCTTAACCGCTCTCTGGAGACACTCGGCCCTGCAGACAGGCGTCCGGGGGAAGCCTTTCAGCTCGGAGTGCACAAAAAAAGGA